CTCGTGTCCTGTTACGATCATCCCCCCGCCATTGTTGCACTGACCCCCCCCCCCCAAAAAAAAAATCACAAACATGTGATTTTTCGCAATTGTTCATCCCGAAAACAGATAAAAAGAATCCACAAAACACGTGGAGTAGTGCAGAGGGGGTTGTGGGGGTCGGTTCGTTAAAATGACTCCTAAAACATTTAAACTGGCAGGGTACGTACAAAGGACCGGAAATCAAATAAAGGGGTTCGGCGGAATGAGGTCGCAGTAACACTACGTGGAGTAGCCGGACGAGCCACTTGTCTGTTTTGCCTCAGAGTGAACTAACACGAATTAAAAATAACCGATTCCATTTGAGTGTGAGGCTGCAGGATTAGAATGATAGCTGCTGTGTCTGGTTACGCGAGCTGGCAAAGTATGCAACTTCCACTCATCTTTCCCCTCTCTTTGGTTGCCAGGTGCTAACTAATTCATTTTTTTTTTCCTGTTTTGCATAGCTTTGTTTTTCACACATCCCGGTGTGGGTAGGCATACCTTCAGTTATTCTCTCCTGATATTTTGTTGTGGGGAAAAAAAAAAGCACGCACCCACGGACACACTCACACATACAAGGTTTTGGTTAGTGTAATTCTGTCCGTATGCGCAACTATAAAGAGTTTCGTCTGTCATGTGTTGTTGAACAAACACACAGTGGTTTATGTGGGGGACTTTACCTACTGACCTCAGCAACCAAACCCACATGAAAATTTGAAAACGCTGTCTCTGAACCTCGAAAATCCCCATCGCCTTTCGATTTCACGCGAATTGACTTGAGATATGACAAAGATAAACACTGTCTCAAATTTATTCCACCAGAACTCTGGTAAGAATCTGCGCTTGTCTGTGTTTCTGTCTCTCCTGTCTGATACCTCCCCCTGCTATATTTGTTTTAGGACATGAGTGACATCTTACATTTGTGGATCGTCGTGGTGATGTATAGGCCTAATATAAAATGAAGATATTTGACTGCTCTTTTGCCTGTACGATACTGCATTTTCGACACGGGCTATCTCTGCGTTGGATGCCGTCTCTTGTAGCCCTAGTGGCACAGCCGCCAGATATTCTCTCTGTATTGTATTGAAAGTGTATAATGGAGACTAGTCGTTTGTTCTTTGGGGTAGGAGTGCATTTTTAAACATTATTGAAATGAACTTCGCACTTCAAATAGTTCATTTAGCGTATAAATGACTTCTGTTTAACGTTCATGCTTTGAAACATCAATAGTAACTATTTAGAAAAGTAATAATTCTAATAAATTGTTCAATTAAAATAATTATTCTACTAGACAAACATTAACAAGCCACATCTTTGTCATTATATTCACTTAATAAAGCTTGAATTTCCATAACCACAAAATTACCAAAATTCCAGTCTTACGACACAAATAAGTAGAATTTGTGGTAGTCAGGGTGGTTTACAGCTCCAAAGTGGAGAGATCCTTGCTGCCTCCATCATCGCCCTGGGGTGTTGATGATGGTACTCATTAGCATGGCCACAAGAGTGCGCCATTGGACCATATACATGAGTCATAAAAATCTTTATATTCTTACGAAAATAAATTCTGTGTCTAACCAATCTTAGACCACACACTCAGCAGTGGCGCTATGCGCTGCCCCTGTGTGATACACCGCCCCGCGCTACACACCTGTTGAGACGCCTCACGTCCACAGCTAGAACATGCATTTAAGCCACCAAGAGAGGAATGGCGTTTCGGCAGAGCGTTAGTGTCCTCCGACGAATTTACGCTGTGGCATAACCCAGAACAAGAACAATGCCATTTTTATTGTCTTCAGAACCCCAAATCTACTGTTTCAATGCTAATATTACTATACACTGCGTAGATACAAATATTTTTATTTGATTTATTTAAATATTAACAGTATGAGTTTATTTGAAATAAAATTGTAGATGTTGAATAAACTTTAAATTTCCAATAACGGCCTCTCAAGAAGGAATATTTACCACGGAGTTTGATCTTCATGTGTATAAATCTTTTAGAAGTCACCACAGTCAAGTGTAAATTACTTCGTCACTTAAGAAAAAATCCTTGATAATAGATCTACTAAAACTTCGTTAAATCAGAAACAATTAAGATATGACATGAAGTGTTATATTGAAATACATGTAGAAATATATATTCTAGAATAGAGACGAGTTACCTCGTCAGCAGAATGGAAAGGATTGTTTGACAGACGTTCGTAACAAATACGTAAGCGTGAAGGATGATTTTTTTTACTCTAAAAAATACCCCAGAGTCCATGAACCTAATTCCACGTTTTCTGCTTAGAGCATTGAGTAAAGCGGTACAACAGACTTGCTAGAAACAGAAAGACAATCTTTGTTACAAAACGTTCTCCCAGGAGAGACTCTTTTCTACTTCCTTGCAGATTATTAACTACTGCTAATGGGGGAGGGGGTTTCTTGCTAGGGGGAGAGCGTATTAAATAATGCATTCCTTTTCCAGAGAGGGTAGACCTCCCTCCACAATGCATCTCTTGTTTTATCAGAGCTGGTGTCTCATGTGTTACAAAAACACAACTTTTTCAACTTATGCTTGATTGTACATTAAATAAACTTTTCATCTTACATAAATGCAGACGGGGGGGGGGGTTGTAAAGAAATTGAGTAAGCTGTGTAGAGGGTAATGTTGTAAGGACAGAATGGAAACGTCGGGTATGTTTGTCACATATAAGTCTAAGTAGGATCTGAGGTCCTCACGGTGGTCTCCGAAAATGACTGTCGTCTGGGTTGTAGCGCCGTATAGTCTGGTAGAAGTTTACCGACGTTTCAGAAGTCCTTGCTGCTTCCATCATCAGGGCGTAACAACCCAGAAGACAGCGATCTTCAGACTCACCGCCGTGAAAAACTAAAATCCTGAAAAGCAAATTTTATCTACAATGAATAAACACGAAGTTTACAGGGGAATTCAGATTTCAACGAACGCATTTGTAAAACCGCGTAGGCCTACTCCTTTGGAGCGTTTCTTTTGTCTCTGTCTTGTGATCGAAACTTTCGCCTTCCGATACGCCAAATTGTCTGTTCGGCACCATCCGTATAATTCTCCAAATGAGTCATCGTTAAACAGCCAACGCGTGTAAAAAACTACCGCTTGTAGCGAACGATCAGGGGTCGTTTTACGTCGGGTCGCGCCGCGTCGAAAATCGGTTAATTTATGTTCGGTTGAGGCGAGGATTTGCTCCGACACGAAGACGTAATTAACATGCGGGGGGCTGTTTATTCTTCATCGTTAAAGTAAATCAACAAGCAGACGGTTGCTAAGCGACGGTGTGTGCGTTTAATTTTGAAAGGCATTTTATGTTGTTAGCATGTCATCTGCAGAAAACAGTACATTCGTCATAAAATTTTCACTTTAGATTCAGTTAGTCGAATAAAAAAAATAGGCCTACGTTTAATATGTCGTAACTAATGCTTGGTATTCGCTAAGCTAGTGAAGAATTGTCAGCCATTTTTGGAGCCCGAATATTCATTTTCGCGTTCACAGGGGCCCACCACCAGTCCCTATCCTGCGCCGTATGAACCCTTTTCGCACCGTCGATTGTCATAAGATCCATTTTAAAATTATCCTCCCTCCTTCTCCCAACATCTTTTGTCTAGTATTTTCTCTTTCTTCAAATTGGATTTTCTTAGTTTTTAAGGCAGCAACATAGGTTAATTGACCCCACAATTCCTTCGCCTAACAGCGAAAGTTCCGAAAAAGTTTTACACCATTTATTATTATTATTATTATTATCATAATTATTTCGTCGTTGCCATTATGATCAGGAAATTTGTTTTGTAATAGCTTCAAACTTAAATAAGATTTCCACTTTTTGCATAATTCATTTGACAGAGAAAATTTTAAATTGAGTTATAACTTTGTCTTTAAAATACATCTTCGCAAGAAAAATGCAAATACTCGGTCTTGTATTGCATAAGTAATTTTCTTTTCCAAATCACATCATTATTATAATACAATATTTATGACTATAAATTATTATAATTGTTATTACTATCAATAGCGTCGTTATATAACTATTGTTCATTCATACAATTAATATCGATTTGTAAGTGGACGTTACAGAGCACGAATGAATATTAACCTACGTCAAATTAACCATTTTAATATTCTTACGCTATATATGTATGTTATATTATACTAAGCCAGTCTGTCAAGTTGGATCTAAAATATTTTTTTTTCTAAATAGAGCCTATGCACTCTTTATATGCGTAGTGATATAAATATATTTTTTATAATTACAAAGTATATTATGTATACACTGAAACATCGTTTCGGTCAGAAAGTTGATTGAAAGTATAATAAAATGTCGATATTACGTTTTAGTGACGTCACAAGGCTCTTAAAGGTTACAGATACGAAAATTAAAGCGAGCAAACCTGCAAACCCACACATTAGCAACTCTCATGACATTCAGTCTCAAATTTCCCGGTTCATATCTCGGCCGAACTAACGATTGAACTGAGTGAAATCTTTCGTGGTTTCTCTCAGTATCTCCAGACAAACAGCGGAAAAGTGTCTCTTGTCACTCATCTGTTTGTGATGTCTCCCGCTCATGTGGAACGAGAAGGTCTCTTACCACTTTTATATAAACTCGCGAATAAATCTTATCCTGAGCCACTCTAATCCAATCCGCAATGTGAAACATCATTTCTTTAACATAGCAGTATGACCTCTGAAACGTTGGTTAACATCGACCAGACTACACAGCGCAATAACCCAGAAGACAGAAATCTTCATAATTATTACTACTTGTAAAATCCAGGTATGCATAGAAGAGTCTCTTCTTTGCAGATTTTCTGAGTAAAGTTTTATAGATATTTTAATATCCCATGCATTCTGCATGCCCTTCCCACCTAGTACTCCTTTATTTAACTATACTAACAATATTAGGCGGGGAGCACAAATTATATGCCTGTTTTAATTATTTGAATCGCCGAAGTTGACAAGGACTCACCTCTGCCACTCCTGCCGACGAACCTGAGGTCATTAAACTTGGCCACCTGGTTCTTCATGACCGCCGTGCAGTTGCGAAGTTCCGCGCAGTAGTTTTCGTCGTTCCCCGCCCGAACAGTGACCAGGGTGCCATCCAGCACGTCCCCGAGAGCCACAACTTTGAAGGCGGCGGGCAAGGTCTTGTTGGACCGCCAGTGCGGCGGAAGAACAGTGCAGACGAGGTGTGGACTTCCGGTCCGCACTAGTTCGCCAGGATGCTCCGACAGGAGGCCGTCCAACGTCCTCTCTGCGAGTACCTCTGCAGTTATTGCACTGTAACCGCCTCCACCGACGTCACTTCCTGCCGCCCCCGATACCGGTGTGCCGACCTCAGAAGCCAGGTGCATCACTTGACCTAACAAGGTGACCCCAGTTCAGTTATAACACTTCTTCACTTCTACGATCCGTCACCATTTTCGCTCCTTCCAACACGTGCACGGGAACACCAAACGCCAACAAGAAACAAAGTTCCAAATTACACATGTTTGCCGCCCCGTGTTCTGATTTGATTCCGTTCTTTTCTCTGCGTCCAATTTTCTTTTCGCCCTTTATATTTGCTCCATGTGTCTTCGCCCCCCAATTGTTAACTCCCACAATCCAATTTCTTCTGTTTTCTCACAAGGTCTGCGGCAAGACACATTCACACCTTCTCTACTCTTTCTTCTTAACACAAGTTAACACACGCGCGCGCTTTATAGACTTCTTCTGTTTGTCACTTACCAACGTCCCCAATAAAATTAAGAAGTTCGTAGTCACTGAAGTCACAACAAAGTTCACACACATGGAAATAAAAAGAAATTCGATTTTCTTATTTCTGCCTCCACAAATGTTTGTTTCCTTTCGCATGGAATAAACACACACAAAAAAAAGTATTTGGACCAGTTTTTTTCTTCAGTCTGTGATATCACTTAAAAATAACAGGCCTAGTTACTATTTTTTTATTTTATTATTTTCTGCGATTAATTCACAATAGAACACTGCCATTTTATCATTCCTAGAGTACTTAGTCTTGTCTTTAAAATTAGTTCCCTAATTACGAGGTCCCTGTTCGGTGACAGGACGTTCCAATGCTGTCCACAAGAGAGCACTCAATCCCGCCGCATGGGGGCGCTCTTCCTGGCGCCCGCCTCCTTTTTGCGGCCCGGAGTTGGTCTGCGTTTTTCCTCCTGACACCGCTCTATGGTTGCCAGTGGTTTCGAAGGAATGACTTTTCGCGGGCATCCATCACACCACATTCGCCAATTAGACGTGGGAAGAGAGAGAGAGCGAATGAGAGAGGGGGGGAGGTTAGAAGAGGAAGTTGGAAGGTTGGCGGGGGTAGTTACAACACCCCCGTTCTCCTCCTGCACTCTGCGCCTGTCTGGCCATCCAGTGGTTCCTCTGCGCCCCTTTTGGGTGTTCTTAAGGCTGCCTCCCACCCCAGAAGCCTTCCACACACAGTTCCCACAACCCCACAACCACTGCTGCCGCCACGATAGTGGGTAAAATTGACGTCACAACTTTCCTACCCCACCCTCTGAATAACAACCCTTGCCTCTGTTGAATTCAGTTTTTTCTTTTTCTTTTTTTCAAAGTGTTTTCACGCGACAAGCGAATTCGTTGGTCAGCGCAATACAAGAGAGTCAGCCACTTTGTGCCTCTCTGAGTCTCCTAGTTTCGCGGAACGTGTTGGAGGTTTGACTCCACTAATGTTTGTCAGATTTGTAGATCAAAGAATAAAATTCGTGTCACGCCACCCTTCCACACGCAGCAGGGGGGTGGCTCTGTGCGGCGGTGACAGTCGTGGTGGTGATTAGTAAAAAATGGGGCCGGGGGGGTGG